GCTTCACTGGACTACCTAAAATAAGTGAACCATTTATGGACAGGAAAACGCATGAAAAAACAAAAACATGCACATTTCACCAGTATAAAGCATTTTAAAAATATAGTTAACAGTCACCGCAAGCCTATGCCATTGAAACAATGAACACATCTATTACAAATGCTGAAAATTATCCTAAATTACTGATTTGTACCACACCTCTATGTAAAATAAAATTTACAAACTATCGCCACCTCATGCATGTACATAACTATCAAATTAAAAAAATCCCACCATTGAAGTGTATCCGCTTGCAGACTGTTGTAACACTTAACACTGGTCTGTATTTCTGATTTTTAAATTTAATTTCATTTACTAAGTAAATAGTTTCATTTGCATTGATGACGTAACACATCAAATCTAGGGGGTTATATGTTTTTTAATTTTAGTTTCTGAAATATGTGTGTGGTAAAGTTCAATTAATTTTTGGGGAGGCTAAGAGGTTCCTAGGGGGGCTAAGTCCCCTCCTCACAACTTCGCCCACATGAGTTTGTAAACTTGTTAAGTAGTCGCATAATTACTGTACCTACCTATTATTCTTTCTGGTACATATTCAGTATTTTCATTTTCTTTATTTAAAACATATTGTTCGAAGAAAAGTGTATATGCAAATAATATAAAGAAAAATGTTAGAAGGGACATAGGTTTGTACCTCCCATTTGATAAAAAGACTGTTATGCATTCCTATTAACGTGCGAATCTTTCTTACCATTTTTTAATAGTGAGTCGACATCTTTTGTTGCCTCAACATCATAAAAATTATTTTTGTATTCATATTGTATTATAAAATGTTCACTTCCCGCCATTTTTGCACAACCATTACGTCTAGCGAGCGCCTCATTTATATACTACAAAAAATGGCGACCGCTCCACAACACGTTCCGTGGTAGCACATAGGCCAGCAGAAAAATCACAAACTGTTGCCCAACTGTTCTGTCTGCTGAACGCGCCCATTGAAGGCTGCCTCTAGTAGGTATATTATGCTCGAAGAATATGGCCCATCACTATTAAGATTAGAGTTAATAATATCTACCTAGTAATAGTAACAGTAGAAACCGTAGTTTGTATAGTGATATTATTACATTTAGATAGTAGAGTACAAAAATAAACATCAGTAGTGTATAACAGCCTGATCCCCTTATCCACCTCGCCCAAGAAGCCACTCTGACTGCCCTCTGCCTTGGGAGGAAACAAAAGCCAACAGTTATCTAAATTATTATTTTTTTTTTCATATCTTCACATTTTAGCTTTTTTAGCCATAGAATATTGTACAAAAAATTACGTATAATTTCAAATACTGCCCCGCGAAAACGGAACTATATCAACCCACACTTTAGCAGCCAGCAGTCCTCTCTCTGAAGTGTACTTATCTCTAGGGCGAATCAGTTTGATTTCACGTGTGCGCGTAATAGTTATCAAGCTCAACACGTGTCAACAGTAATATAGGGATACGTATTTGTACGTCAGTATGGTATTGTGCGGGTATTGAGTACTTTAAAAATCATACCCAATTAATTATGTTACCTAATCATATCCATTTTTTTTTTTTTTATTAATAAATCATTTATGTGTCCGAATCTGCGAATTATTCAAATATTACTAAAATATTTACATATTTTAACTTGCATTTTGGTATGTAAATTTTATGTGTCAACATTATGCAGCACAAAAGAGCAACAGTGTTCTAGGGTTAAACTTCCTCCATTTGTCAATTTTATCCACTTTATTTTTCACTCGCCATTTGTTTTCTTTTTGAACGATTCTTTAATAATGAAATGACAAATTTGCATTCTTAATTAATTAAGACTTATTTATATACAGTGTGAACGTTTAGAATGGAAGCCATAAATAAAATACGCCCTGTATAATTTACACAAAAACACTCAAACACATCAATTTTTAAATTCGTTTGTGTTTCTTTTGACATCGTTTCGTTTATGACGTCAGTAGAAAAAACATTTCTGAAAAAGGCAATATGCAGCGGTGTAACCTTAAAGTTGATGTTGATAGTTTTCGAGATAAAAGGTTTCAGTTTGGAAAAATGAAAAAAAGAGCAAAAAAAACTAGTTAAGAAATATTTTTTTATTAAGACAAAATGACATAATAAACACAACGAAAACTAATTAAATATGGTGCTCGAATTGTAATCCTTCTGCAACCTGACAATAGGTAAGTTTCTGTTGCAACTATTGCAATACTTTTCCGATGGTGTTTGGCTGTATAGCTCTAATTTCATCTCGAATTCTTGTTTTTAACTCATCAATATCCTGTAGTTTAGTAGTACACTTTCAACTTAAGATAATTCCACAAAAAGAAATCAAGGAGTGTAGGTCAGGGGACCAAGCTGGCCATTCGATAAAACCTCTCCAGCCTGTCCAACGATTACGAAATATTTCATTTCAATAGTTACAAACATTTGCGAAATAATGAGGAGTTGATACAACAGAAGCTCATTGGGAATATTCAGAATATTATCATCTGAGAATAGTGCTGACAACTCTGGAATTATTTGTTGTCATAACATTTGTAAATATTTCTCACCTGTTAACCCTCCGTTCAACGGGTGGGGTCTGCAAGTCCACGACAAAATGAAAATTCTTTATGTCTGCTTAAATATTTTTTTGTGAATCCTGATATTTAGAGCACCATTCAAGAACATGGAAATTAAGTTTTCTCAATATAGAAATAATTTTACAAAATGTCAATAGCTTTTGTGTGATACTTTTGCCTAATAGACCCCACCCATATGGATATGTTGTGAAAAAAGGTCCAAATTGGCAACACGAGTGCTTTCTACAACAGTACAAAAAGTGGAGTAGATGTTATTGATACATACAATGTTGCAAGAAATACAAAGCTTTTTATAACTTGCTCAATATTGCAGCAATCAACGCATTTGTAATTTACAAGAGTAATAGTCCAAATGCTGAATTCACCAAATATCGTAGGCTATTTCAAATTTTGCTATAGAACTAGTGCACGAGAGTATGAAAACAAGAGCAGCTGACAAACACCTACCACGAAGTGTGTGTGTCTCAGCTACAAGGCTTACAGGTGTCCCTGAAATGGATGTAGCCACAATTTTTGCTTTTGCAAAAAAAAACTCTAGGCTTACCGATATAAAATTTGAACAGGTTTTTTTAATCGATTCTAAAATAAGTCGCTGACTTACCGATATGACAAAGATGATAATATTAGATCTCTTCTTCTGACTTAGGCACCGGTGCCCTACCTAGCTACGCCCATGTATACCAGACTCTGCCCCAGGTAAGAAAGGAAATTGTAAATGTTGCAAGAGACACAAAACACGTTTTATTTTCCAAAAAATGCAAAAGTTGGCTGTGCATGGAGCACATAACGGCTTGCAGTGGGTAATGCTTTGAAAATTTCAAGATGAAAGTCTGAGAGCCTGTAGTTTTTTTTTTTTCTATACCATAAATTTTATGTTAATTTGTCCATTGTTTAATAAATACTTCCAAAAAATGGTTGTTTTTTCTTCATTAAGGTTTTTTCCCGAATTTTTTATAAAATATATGTTAAAATTGTAACTTTTCCAATTTTGCCTGAAGTACAAAGAAATAATTTCATAAACGATTTTATTTCTTATAGTATGTCATAAAATACTCGTAGTAAACATATTCGTATGAAATTATCCCAAGAAAAAAAACTGTAACCAGCGTACTTATCAGTTTTGTTCCTCACAGGCCCCACCCGTGCGAATGTGAAACTGATAGGGCACCAGTTGAACGGAGGGTTAAATACCCATCAATGAAAATATTACCAATAATATTTTTTCCTACAATTCCTGCCCAAATATTTACTTTCTGAGGGAATTGGGTGTGTGCTTCTATCATCGAGTGAGGATTATTAGGGACCCAGTAGTGACAGTTCTAACTGTTAACAGTGCCATTTCAAAAAAAAATGTTACAGCGGTTCATTTCTTTGCAAAATTCTATTCTGCGGTCAGGGTCATCATTTAATTCTTGAATTAGTGAATCTTATAGGGATGCCATTCATGTATTTTACTACAGAACTTTGTTCTAACCTCATATTAGATGCCATTTGTCTGGCCGACCTACTGATCTCGAACACGTCCAAAGTGGATAAATTTATTTACAATCTTATTCAATGTTAATTTTCTATTGCATGGTTCATTCGGATTTTATAGTTCTGAAAAGGTTGCATACTGCATCAAGTGATCTTTTCATTTCGTCACACCTCTCAGAATCAAGATCTCAATTCTTTGTTTTTCCGTTAACCTTCGTAGCATTTTTAATATCACCAAAAAATATTAAAGAATAACTAAATTTGACAACTACTTTAATAGTATATTACGTAATAAGTGTTGTAAAAAGCATTTTACGCACGAATGGAAAAGTTACGCATGACGCCGCGTAGCGGCGAATGCGTAATTCTATGAGTGCGTAATTGCATTACACCACGTATTACGTACTATACTTTACCTACGACCACTACTGTAAATAATTAAAAACACACCCTCTGCGATCAATGTAAGATTCCTATTTTACGTACGGTAAAAAAATCGCACAGCTTGGTAAAAAAATTGTAGTTTTCCTAGCAACCGCCTAGCAACGTTCAATACAAACAGTATTGTATTGAAAGTACAACAGTATTTGTATTAAATTGTGCGATTTTTTTACCATACGTAATAGGAATCTTACATTGATCGCAGACGGTGTGTTTTTAAGTATTTACAGTAGTGGTCGTAGGTAAAATAATTTACGAAACTATCAACATGCACGGCTACCTACATGAATAAGATCAAGGAATTGAAAAATTTGTATTTCCAAAATTTGAAGCCTTTTATCTCGAAAACTATTAACATTAAAGTCATAGTGTTGCATATTGCCATTTTCAAGAATGTTTTTTGTAAATGTTTTAAAAAAATGTCATCCTGATGACACAGAAATTAACTAATGACGTCATAATCGAAACAATGGTGAAAATTATACAGGGCGTATTTTATTTGTTTTCCATTCTAAACGTTCACATTGTACACATCTTTCAAATGCAACAAAAACAATAAGATTAAATTTGTTTTAATATATCTTACATATGCAATAGATTAAAATGTATATAAATATATTTAATTTTGTTTAAATAAAAAATCAACAAATATTTTCTATATTTCCTAATTTTTTTGCAGCTTTAAATGTGTTTGCCATTAACATTGCTACAGTCATCGGCCCAACCCCTCCTGGAACTGGTGTAATGTACCCTGCAATTTTACGTACATCTGGAAAATTTAAAAGAAACAAATTAATGGATGTTTAATCTACAGGGTGTCTCAGTTTTAATCTATGAGATTTTGGGAGCAGATAGTACGACGAAAAATAATGGTACTTATTTCGAAAACTCAACCGTTTTCGAGATAAGTGTGTTAATAGTTAAAAAAAAAGTTATTGTAAATATCTTCTAAAATAATAGAAGTATTTGAATTAAATTTGGTGTACCTTATATTGGGTCAAGTTTCCATAAAATACTGTTATATCAAGATTTTTGCGCAACCACTGGCGGAGATATGGTAAACTCATTACGGTCATATGCAAAATAAAAATTTATTATATTTTCTGAAAAATCATGCCAATGAAAACAAAAAGTCTCTTTTTCCTTTCAAATTAGCCATATACTGTGCGCTAATGAATTTTTTAAATCCCTATTAGAAATATTTCGGCTAGTTTTAACTAATTTAAATTAAAAATAAAGTAGCATCTTTAGGATTTCTTCCATTTCTTCAGCAAGATTTTTATTTGATGCTAGACCTTTAGCCTTGTAACAAAAGCCGTGACGCGTAATAATTTATTTATTAGTTCTGGGAACGGATGGGCCAAAAAGTAAAATATTTCAGTCAACACAAATTATCGAAAGTTGAGGGCTTTCAAGTAGGTAGCGTCGTCCTTCGGAGAAATTTACCAATATTTTAACAAGTTCGCTTAGAGTCGAGGCCATGTGACAGTCATCTGTTGCGTCTGGGAGGTCGAATTCGAGAAAGATCTGCAAGAAAAGCAGTTCTTCCTTGAGTTTCACATTGAGCAGTCTAATTAACTTTAGAGTCTCGGGCTAATTAATTAAATTTAATAGTGGATAAAGTTTTTCCAAATTTTGCTATGAAGCACGCATCATTCCCTGAATCTCGGTACGCTGTCGCGTGTCAATAAATTAACTAATAATGTTGTTCGAGCCGTTGTGTTGCTATTTTGTTTGTTTTGTTTATTGTTATTAAAACTCTTCCTGGAAGTTTTGTATTTCTTTTTGTTTCTTCCAACTTCTGTGTCACCCTGTATAGGAATTACATTCTACGTAAGCAATAAAGGGTAAGTGCCTGAAATTCATTCTCTGAACATACCAACATTTCTAAGTTCCCACGTATTAATTAAAGTATAATGATAATTATAAACTCCCTTTCGAGAATTAAACAGTAAACTCTTGTGAAATCCAGACTCGTTATGATACTGGTCATACGATAGATAGACAGAGAAATAACCCCTTAGGTTACAGCCTTAAGGAGGAATATGTGGTTGCAATTAGATGGGGCTTCTGCTCATTCTGATAGGGTAGTTGAAAACTGGATAAATATCAACAGATGGATCGGCAAACAGGGCCCTATCCCATGGGCAGTGAGAGCACCAGATCTTACCCCCCCTGGACTTCTCTATATAGAGCATAATTAAAAATTATGTGTATGGAGTCCAAATAAATTCAGAGGAACAATTAATACGTCGCATAAGACCTACATGTGCTCCAGCACATATAATTAAATATTTGAACACGCTAGAGGGCATGTATTGAGGCAAATGATAAGCATTTTGAACACCTATTGTAACGAAGTGATTTTCCGACACCCCACATTTGTGTTCTTTTTATTTAATTATATTAATAAATGTAGTTTACCGTACCGGCATTATTTTTGGCATTTCAAACGCCGCCTGAATTTAACCCGGCACACAGTGGGAAAAATTGAACAAAATTTTCATCGTCTCGTCGTGATTTTTTTTTTAATAATCTCGTGGTAATTTGAATTTTCATATCCCGGTGAGGTTTTTTCGAAAAACCCGTTTTTTTAATGCTTAGGGAGCGCCCCAACCTCAATGTCGAAGAAAACATTTTTAAATACCCGATGTTCAGTATAGGAAAAACGAGACGATGAAAATTGGCGAGTGGCGAGAATTTTGTTCAATATTTCCCATTGTGCGGCATCGTGTGGCGCCAAGCCGATGGCCTGCTAACTCGCACCGCGCTCCATAGTCTGCCGCCAGCCATCGTAGGGACCAGTCATCCCGAGCCTACCAGCAGTTCAGCCAGCGATACGTCAAAACCGCATGAGTAAGAATTATACAAGTCCCTCTTAGAAGAACTACGTAGTCGCTGCCGAAACGTCACCAGGACCTAGAAATTATGCCGCGTCGAAGATTCATTTCACCACGAGGCATCGTAGAGTCCAGTCAAGCTATCAGCCGTTCCAGCCAGAGCTACGTCACCAGTAGAAATTGGTGAGATTTCACTAAGTATAGCCTGAGGAAACTGCGCAGCCGCCAGGATTCGCCGTACAAATACAGCAAACAAGCTGCATTCAAAGGATTAGTCTACCACGAGCCGTCAGTCACCCCGCCCGGAGATACATCACCACTGGAAATAGGTGAGAATTCTACAAAGTCCAGTTTAGACGAACTGCGCAGCCGCCAATCCGAGACGAGGGACTTAGGAAATAAACTGAATTTGAAAATTAGTTCATCTCCAGCCGCCGTCAACACCAGTCCAGTCCGAAGACCGCTGCAGTAAGTTAGGTTCCGCGCATATTCAATGCGCAAGTCTCTTGAGGCGACAAGAGACCTGACGAGGCAATTGTACTGCAGAGTTAGTCCTGTTCATAGAAAATATAGTACTAACGTAGAATGAAATCTAACATATGAATAATGAAACTGTCATGGCGGCGTCACACGTTAGTTAGCTTCCAAAATAAAAGATGTCGCAGAGAATGCTAACCCTGTCATTTTGGGTTGGTTGGTAATGCAGTTTGCACTTTGCACGTATTTGAAGTTTGGCTTTCGTTATCTTTGGTTTCTTTGGTTATCCTCTGAAAATTGAAAATTATAGTATTGCAAGAATTGTGTTTATAATTATTTAGTGCTCAAGAGTTTTCTATTTGTTATTATATTATACTGGGAATATGATGTGTAAGTTTTAAGCTATATAGTTTTATTAAAAACCAAACCCATATCTTTACCAACATTATGTGGAACACT